CCCAAAAGGGGTTATGAGACAGGTTCAAATACTTCAATTTGATCAAACTCCCTATTTCTTTAGGCAATTCGCCTATTCGGTTTCGGCTCAAATCCAATGCTCTAATGCACGATAAACAAAGGAAAAGATCGGGGTCAATTCGGTCAAGTTGACTTACAATAGGTGGGGAGTCGAAAAAAGATTGAACCCAAAGTGTGATCAATCTGTCAACACTCGGAACACTCGGAAAATCTTTGTCTTCACCTCGCACCACAGTCAAGTGACGAGCCTTTTTCTCAGATAACCGGATTTTTCGTTCCAAATCGGACGAGTTATTATACTCGATCACACGACATTCGTTCTTTGCAAGATATTGAGCAAAATCATGGACCATATCATGCATTTTCACACTCAAAATCCTCTTCCCATCTTTATCCATCTTCAAGATTTCAAAAAACGACCTCATCGCCAAACGTTGCAAATATTCTTGCCCTAACACCTCCACCTCGACATTCTCGTTCGACTCGAGATACCCTTGTGCCATCCAAAGTTGGACCAAATTATTCGCCTCGATAACATAATCTTTAGGAAATAAGGCACAAAACGAGAAGCAGTGTTTCATGCCGGGCGGCAAATCGTAGTAACTCAACATGAGGGGCGGGAAAAGCTTCTCCGCCTCCTCGAGCACCCAAAACTCGCTGCTCAAGACATTTTCCCAATCCGCTAAAGAACTCTTGAAACGCATCAAGCTCCCAATTGTCTTAACCGTCAGAGGCCTCCCTTTGCACTTATCTGCAATCCTTCTCCCGACATACTCGAATCTCGCGAATTCCTCGTCACTCCTCTCAAAAAACGCAATCGTTTTAAACAGGGCCCACGAGTCTTGATCAGACAGTTTTCCCAAACGATGCGTGTACTTGCTCCCCATGACTTTAGCAACCGTCTCGATTCTTGTTGTCACTAAAACAGAGCTTCCACACGCGCCCGAGCCAAGTGTGCCGAAAATATGCTCCCACCTGGCGAAATCCTTTGTCCAAACATCGTCCAAGACGAGCAAGAACTTCTTTTTCTCCAAGTGGTGCCTGATTTTTCGAGTCACAGTCTCTAGCTCGAACAGATTCGGGGCAATACCTTCGATTTCCTCTAGAATGGCTTTTGCAACTCGAACCTCGTCAAAAGGGTCAGACACACAAACCCAAACCCGTTTATCGAAGTTGCTATCGACAGGTTCCGAATTGTAAACGACCTGCGCTAGCGTCGTTTTGCCCATCCCCCCCATACCCACCACAGAAACTACATTCAAGCCCTGATCCTTTTTACTATTTCCAGACAAGAGTTTCCTAATTATAGCATTCTTGTCCGAATCCCGACCCTCCACCTTCGACAAATCAACGTACGATGACGTTTTAGGCCGTTCATAGCCCGATAACTCATCATCGCCGGTAACGGCGGTGAAGTTGTACCTATCCTTTTCCTCAGCAATATCAGCTAATTTTTCGTTAATTTTATTGATCCTCAGAGCTATATCGCGACGAAGGGTGATTTTGTTAAACCCTAGACAAGGTAAAGTGACGAAAGAGTATACCTTTTTCGCCGGAGAAGAAGAAGATTGGGATTTATTCTCCTCGAGCCCTTCGATTTCGGCTTTTCGCATTGCGGTTATCCACTCGAACAAAACGTCGTCCGCCTCGTACGCGACGTCGTTTAGCTTCTCGAGCCAGATTTGTACCGCCTGCTCTTTCACCTGCCGTTTGCCGGCGTCGCCGAGGACGGCCCTGATGGACTTGAACTCGCTCTCGAGCCTCTTGATCTTCTTTCCGACGCCGGTGATGAGCTGGACTTCCCGTCTGATGAGCTGGTCCAAGATTAATGTGAGCTCAGTTAGGACGGCGCCTATGATTGGATCAGACATTTGTTTTAGAATTTGGATAATGCAAAAAATGGATTTTTTTTTTTTTTTTTTTTTTTTTTAAAGGTTTGGGATTTGGTCGGTGAACTTGAAGAAATGCAATGACATGGGAATGTATAAAAAGGACGAAATTTTTAATGGGTTGACAAATTTGATACTTTTGCATGAAATTTGCTTGGAAATTAATTGGAAACGGGAGTATAACTCAAATTTTCCATACGAGTCTGTCTAACCATTAGACAAACAATCGACTAGTCGTATATATATATTTTTTTTTTGTTCACAAAAATACGTATTTATATTATGAACTTATGATAATCCTTAGAGCAGTAAATGTTGGTGTTTTTATTTATGTATGACGTTATTTTTAATATTATTTTCAGCAATCTAATTATACTTTATGGTGCTAGTTTAATTAAATAAATATTGATTAGAGTGAGCACCATATAGAATTTTTTCTTATAGCACTACATATAATAATATAATAAAAATAAATAGTGGTTTTCATTATTCCCACATTAAGGCTTTTGTTGAATATGTAATTATTAGGTAGCTGCCTGTTACTAACTGTGAAATTTCTAAGAAAGTTGCAGAGAGCTAAAAGGAGACGATTCCTCGGACTCTTGAGAAACAAGCCGTGTGGGACATTCACTTGAAATAAGGAGTAATAAACTAATAATAAGTTATAAGGAAAATGCTACGGTACTGTTACGGAACTATTCGGTCAGATTTGTAACCATTAAATCATCATGTAATTGTCGGAGATAGTTGATCTACCGTTGTAAATTTCGATAGAATGGTTTGTAACGGGACTGTAGCATTTCCCGTTAAGTTAATAACCCTCCAAAAGCAAGTAAATAAATAAATAAATAAAATCATGAATTTGTAATAATTACAATTTACAACAAAATATATGACCTTCGGAGTTACTAATTAAGTAATTATCACAGCGCAGAACATGTAAAGTGACTAATTGAGGTCAACTTATAGATGAATTACTATTTTATTAAGCTAATTACACGTTGGCTGCACAATGCCAAATAAACAGCTATTCCACAGTTTTTAAACCCGGCGCAGAAATCGACCCGAACAGGTTTGTAGGTCTCCGGGTTACCGGGTCACCGGTTCAACTTTTCAGTCACTGGGTCAATTGCTGAACCGGATAATTAATTTTAAAATTTTTTAAATTATATATATAGTATTTTTTATTTATAAATATACATGTGGAGGCAGCAGCAATTGTAAACCTCCCGTTAGTTGATTGAAACTCAAGTC